CTTCAGAACCAGCTGGCAGTTAAAGAGTTAAGTTTCCGAGGCTCAACCAACACAGCCCAGATCCCATTTATTGCAGATTTGGGGGAGAAACCATCCCACTTTTCTTCCCCCCTCCCCCACCCCACTCCTTCCATTTTTCCACCAGTCAAAAGTGAATAGGATGCCCAGCCCAGGAAAAAGCTGCTTTGAATTCAGCAAGGACATGCCAGAGCTGTCTTTTCCCCTAGTTATTCCTCCCTCCTGCTCCTTCTCACCAAGTTAGTGGAATTTGTGAGCTCCTTCAGCCTGCTAAGAAGCCCAGATGAGCCCTGGCAAGAATTGCACTGAAGGAAGAAACGTGAGCCTGGCCTTAAAATGGATTTAAAAAAAGAAAAGAAAGAAAGAATCCAACAGGCAGCCCAAATTTATTGGTAAAGTCTGACCTCCCCTAATCAGTACGCACTAGAGCTGCGACGGTGAACCTATGGCATTCCTGCAGGAAGTGGGTCTAACCCATTTCTGCCGGCACCAGCAAGCTGTCCCCTGGAACAGATCCCCTGAGCATGCACGCATGCCTCCCGCCAGCCAGCCTCTGTGCAGGGGAGTGGGGTGTTGCACAATCATTGCATTGTAGGTGTAGGCACACATGCGTGTGTGTGCGCACACTTTCGGCACACGACGACAAAAAGGTTAGCTGCACTCTTAACTGCACTAGAGATTTGGGGTCGAAGAGTAGCTGTGTGTCTCTGGAGTGGGGGATGTGAACCCCCTTTCTAAGATCTAAACCAGGATTCCAGCTCTAGGTTGTAAGTCCCCTTTTTCAGGCAGGTTGTAATTTCTAACGGTCTCTAAGCGAGGACCACTAGACAACACACCTCGGGGAGCATCTGTCGAATCACAGTCCGTCAGAATATCACCACCGGGATTGGATTCTTCTGTCTGAAAGTCTGGCTGTGCAAATGATCCGTGCCGTCCTTCTGCAGGGCAGAAATCCAGCAGCTCAGAGAGAAGTTGAGAGAACTGGAAGGAGACCAAGAAACCACCTGCAGGCAGCCTGGGATTGATGGGACACAACCTCCAAATCAGGTGAAAACAAGATCCTGTGCAGTAAGCAAGTGAGCATCAACAGGAAAGTTTTTCCAAGTTTTACAGTTCACCCTCTCAAGCCTCCAGCACTCTTCCTCCCCCCCCGCCCCCGCACATAGCCCAATTATCCTTCCCCCCCCCACCACCGTTACTATGGCAGCTGGAAAGACAAGCTGAAACCAGAAGGAGGAATCTTGAAGGCTGACGTTATGGTTCTGTTCGTTGTGAAAGATCAGGTCCACCCATGAAGATCCAATTTAACTGATTGATTGTCATTCACGCCTGTGTACAAGATCCTAGGTAGAGTAGATTTTCTCTCTCTGGGCATAATGAGAATGTATCTGCGGAATAAAACTCCACATTGGTGACAGGAAGGGCATCCGGCCAGTAAACAGCTCCACTCAGTTGCCCAGGCTCTACCCTGCAAGGGATTATGGGGTCGTTAAAAGTTGTTGATGCCTGTGTACAAGAATCTTCTCGACTCACGGTTAGCACCTGCATGGAGTTAAGAGAAGGGTCAGCGGGATTCAAGGGAGGTTGGACTTGTTTGTGGCAACGTAAGGATTCTAGGCTGACCCCTCTTTTAACTCCACCCCCAAGTTCTGTGAACTGCTACAAATTGAGTCTTTCCCAACCTTAGCAACATGAATCTAACTCCCAGAGTTCCTGACTTACGCAGTCATCACTTAACGACAATAAATCGAGACAGTCAGAACTGCTGTTGCTAGTCACGTGGTACGTGCTTTACAACCACATCGCTTTGCGACAGAACTCTGGTCCCATTTACTGTCATTAACTGAGGACTCTCTGTAGACCCAGCTCCTGAATCACTGCAGGTTTTGGGGTTGTTATAAACGACTTTTCCAAACCTCAAATCCTGTGCCAGATTGCTGGTACGTCGATTGTGGTCTCTCCGCCGAAGACTAAGGAATGTCTGCAACTGAGCACAGAAGCATCCCGGCTTCCCTCAGTTCAGGTCCTAATCCCCCTGCTCGTTCCACTCCTCTAGGCTCCAGATCCCTCTCCCGGGCTCTGCCTTTTGTCTGGAGTTGTTGACTGCAAAACAGGGGAGGAAGAGGAGGAGGAAGACGAGGAAGAGAAGACAGCAGCCGCGAGACTCGTTCGATCTGCCTTCAGGGCGTCCCTTGAGGAACCGTAAGTTGGAAACGGATGGTTTTAATGAAGCAGCAACCCAGCCCGGCTTGTCCTACAAGGCTGAATGTCCATGGAGATTCACAGCCTTCCAGGTGACGGTTGCCCCAAAGGCAACTGGACTTTTTGGTTTTTCTCTCGAAGACGTTTCGCTCCTTGTCCAAGAAGCTTCTTCAACTCTCACCGGATGGTGAGGAACGGGAGGATTTGTATTCCTTGCGGACAGCTGGTCCTTTGCAGAGGGTCGTTGAGGCCACTTGGACCTGGAAAGCTCCACACTCGTTGGAGCACTCAGGTGACCCCGAAGACACGGATAAACCTCCCAGTGGCCTCAAGGGCTCTCTAAAAAGGATGCAAATGACCAGCTCTGTCTGCAAGGAGTATCAATCCTTCCATTCCTCACCATCCAGTCAGAGCTGAAGAAGCTCCTTGGATGAGAAGCGAAACGTCCTCCAAGAAAAAACCAAGAAAGTCCAGTTGCCTCTTGAAAAGAAAAACACTTTTGCAATTTAGCAGGAAATACATAACTTTCGAAGCAGAGCTCGCATTTCAAAATCAAGCTCGTTTTCACGCGCTGCAGGGTGGGAAACATTGAAAATCCCCTTGATTTTTGGATCTGAGCTTTCCCCGAGGAGTTATCCGATCAGAGGTGTCCCAACCTTGGCGACTTTAAGGCCCTGGGGACTTTTAAACTCCCACACTGGCTGGGGAATTCTGGGAGTTGAAGTCCACAAGTCTTAAAAGTTGCCAAGGTTGGGACACCCCTGCCTAGACGCAAGTTGGTCTGCATCCTTTATATGTACCAAGGAGTGGAATCCAAATCATTCCAGCCAGAAGGCATTCCTCCACCCAACCCCCAGGCCGAGTTGCTCACCAGCTGTTGCAGCTACACAAACACACACACACATACCCCGCAGCAGCCGGCGGTGGCTCAGCTCTGCAGCAAGTGCGGTGGATTTGGATCGGAGGCAGGGATGGAATGATGGCTTTTTATTGACTTGCTGGGCCAGGAATTCTGGGAGTTGAAGTCCATGAGTCATAAAAGGGCCATTGTTCTCCTCCACCCCTGGTTTAGAGGCTGCCTACCCTGGCATCCCAAGCCAGGCCCGGAGGCCTCACCTCCTTGGTAGAGATTCATCAGGTTCATCAGGTTCGCCTTTCCCCCAGCCTGAACATTCTCCCTTAGCACAGATTCAAAGGGTTTCAATTGTGGTGCATTTCTGTAGGGCAGCAAATGGATTTGCTCTCCTCCCTTCCCTTCCCTCTCCCCACCAGTGATGTGTTGCCCCCTCCCTCTCCTTCCCAGGGACCCTCTCTTCCATTATATGTTCTGCACCCAGAAGCTAATCTGAGGTCAGAAAGAGCTTTCTTGACCTTGAGCCCTGGAGGGATGGAGAGAATTCTTATGCAGATCTCCTGTAGGGGGGTTAGATCTCTCTCTCTCTCTCTCTCTCTCTCTCTCTCTCTCTCTCTGTCTCTCTCTCTGACTCACCACTTTGGAATCTGAGCTTCTATGACTCTTGCCCCCTACCACTTATCTTTTGCAGGCCTCTCCCCTCCAGTCCTGAGAGGGAGAAAGCCTCTGAGGAAGAAAAAGTGGGCTGGTCGCTGTTCAAATTCTCCCCTCTGGTCTTCACTTCCAATTCTGGTAATTCCGCTGACTTCCCCTTAAATGTTTTTTGACACATTTGCTTGATTTCTTATTTTGCACATTTCTTTTGACACGTTGGATTGACTAAATTCCCACAACACCGTCACCTTGTTTACTAAGACTGTGTTGCTATTCTTCTCATCCTTCCCAGTATCTATCTCTTCCCACTTGCTTGCAACCGTGTTGCTCGTATCTTTACCATTTATGTTGTTTTATTTGTTCCTTAGTAGGATTTTGATTGCTTATTAGTAACCTATGACTCTCATTAAGTGGTGTATCTTATGATTCTTGATGAATGTATTTTATTTTTCTTTTATGTACACTGAGAGCATTTGCACCAAAGACAAATTCCTTGTGTGTCCAACCATACTTGGCCAATAAAGAATTCTGTTCTGTTCTGTTCTGTTCTATTCTATTCTATTCTATTCTATTCTATTCTATTCTATTCTACTCCTCTCCTACTCCTACTCCTACTCTACTCTACTCCTATTCTATTCTTATTCTATTCTATTTCTGTTCTATTCTATATTCCAATATCCTATTTGACTGTTTCCTAGTATGATTTAATTTGATTGCTTATTGTACCCTATGACTATCATTAAGTGTTGTACCTGATGATTCTTGACTCTTTTCTTTTATGTATACTGAGAGCATTTGCACCAAAGACAAATTCCTCGTGTGTCCAACCACACTTGGCCAATAAAGAATAATTCTATTCTATTCCATTTCACAATGGCAGGTTTCCTCCCTTTGATCTTCGGTACAAAGCTGATCTCATTTGAAACCTGGATACAGAAATGGGAGGATTGGCCTCTCTTGTTTGCTTGGCTTGGGGAGGGCAATTACAGGACCAGATCTTCCCTTCGGAGCTCACGATTTGAAGCGGTGTTTCTCAATGTTGGCAACATTAAGCTGGGAAGGACTTCAACTCCCAGAAACCCTAGCTAGCTGGAGAAAGCTTAAGGTTGCCAAAATAAAGTCAAAGTATCCGAGAAGGAAAGGAGGGAGGACAAACTATTGGAAAGGTGAAGGGCAAGTTAGGGAAAAGCAGTAGATCCTGTCCAGGAGATCCCCCCCTTACCATCTGAACCCCATCTTCTAATCTTGTATCCAGCTGGGGAAATAGATTCCCCCCTAAGAAATCAGTGGAGACCCATCTCTGAAGATGCCAACTCTAGTAGACAAGGCCTTTTATTCAGACAGGAAATTGGCCAGTGAATTAAGCCAGTCGGCTTGTCATGGGTGGCTTCCTCATTTGTCCTAAGGAACGTTTCCCATCTGAGAACAAGAAGCCAGTAGCAGAGAAGCCAGAGATGGTGGTTTAGTGGTCGGGTTGTCGTCGGTAACGTAGAAACAAAAACAAGTGTGGGAATCATAAGTCTGCAAACTCCTCTGAGAATCTCCCGGTCTAAAAATGGCCGTTCTTGTTCCCTCCTCCCCCCCCCCCCCCCCCCCCCCC